GTGTACTGTTGTTGTGACTATTTGGGAGAGTTGGAAGAGCAGAGAGGAGCTTGCTCATTTTTTGTTCTGGCCCTTATGCTATTGGGTCTGTAAGGGATGGACTCATATGTTTGTGACTTAAGATAATGCTCCAAAAAATGATGCTGCTGTAAACAAAACTACACTACTTGATTTGTGTACATTTTTAAAATAACAGACCTCCGGAAACAGAATTGCTATTATTAGCATAACTGGTTTTTCCTTGTAAAAGCCACAGATCACATGTGCTTCTTTCCTGTGAAATGTTTTATTTTTAGGTCTTAACATACGCAGGTTTTTGCCACGATTTTTCAAAGACTTTGTATCAATGCCTCAGTGAATGTTTCTGAAAATCTCATTCTGCAGCATTGTCTTTTATAGTGTAGATTTTTCACTGTAATTTTCTACATCCCTCGTGTTTCTAAGGTTTTTTTCCCACAGGCAGATATTCTTTATAATTAGTACCAAAACTACTACTTAAACTGACAAAGATGGCTTTTAGGAAAGATTGGCAGGCAAGCTAAATTATTGCTATTGCATCTCTACCATAGGAAAGGGTTGTACGATTTATGTTGAAATGCATATTATTTTAATGCTGATTGCTCAGTGTCTTATGTTGCTTAAATAATTTTCATCATGTTTCAAGTGTTTCACTATAGCTTTTTGTTTGTTTTAAAGTAATGGCTTTTATTAAAATTACACAGATATGTGCCTCACTGTTACTGAAGACAAAACATTACTCCACCTATGAGGTGATTTCATGAGAGAAGCATATCTTTTGGCATAAGTTTCCAAGACTCTGTATAATTGTTAGGTTGTAGCTTAGTTTGTAATAGCATTGATTGCACTGTTGGATCTGCAAGAGTATTGTGTTTTTTATGATATTTTCTGTGCAGTGAGTCATAATAATAATAGTAATAAAGCATAACATGGCATCATTTGTGGGTTTTTCTACTGATAAAATATTGCCATGTTACTTAGGGTAGGCTTTAAAAATGTCTTTAAATTTCAGACCTGTCATCTGTTTGCAAGCTCTGGGCTTGGTCCCCAGGAGCTGTGCAGGCTGGTGACCCCATGGCGTTTCCCTTCCAGCCAGGCTCATTTCAGGAACCGAGGCACCTGCAGCAGACCTTGAGAGGCGGGGGAATGCCAGTGGCTACCCAGCCCTTTCCAGCCCTTTTGTTCTGAAAGTAGGGACTGAGCAGGACGAAATGGATGGACCTGTTTAGGAATTGTTCTTTTGGCCTACTTTGAAAGTAAACACAACTTGAACAACCTGCGTATATCCATCAGAGGGGTGGTGGGTGGGAGAAGAGTGGCTGACTGACCACTGGCAACCCTGGAGCTGGATGCCAGGGGACCCTACATAACCCCCAGGAGAAACAGGGCCCTGCCAGCGTGCAGGCAGAGCAGCCCAGGTCAGGTCAGAGGGGCATTTGGCCAACTGTCTTGTCCCAGTGGCCTAAGGCAGATGCTGAGGGAGAAGCAGAAGAGCAGAACAAGGACGTATGATGCTTCCTCAGAGTCCTTTTCCAGGACTCCAAGACTTTCTGAGTCAGGTACGATTTCTGTGCGTTTGGCAGCCCTCCGTTATGTCCATTAATTTGTCCATTCCCAGTTTGAACCAGTACAGACCTCCAGCATCCATGCTTTCCTGTGGCAAGAGGTTCCACATTGTAACCAGGGGCTGTGCCAGAAAAGGTCTCTTTTTATTAGTTTTGAGCTTACTGGCCTCTTCTGTTACCTCCTGATTCTTGCGTTGTACAAGGCAGAGAATGATCAATCTCTTTGTTTTCTCATGCCAGACACAATTTCCAGATCTTTGAGAACATAACATATGATCTTCCAGAATGTAAAAACATTAACAGTGGTATCTTTTAAAAAGCAATAATTTTGTCAGACCCACATGAGAAGACCCTGTGCTTCTCCTTGTCATCCCTCCAAATACAACTGTGAACTCTCTCCGAGTTAAGTCATTCTGTTTGATCTTTGTCTTTTGTACTGTATACTTACTTTAATATCTTACATTTTATAATCTCTTGCATCTTCCTTGGCACAAACCCCTTTGTGGCCGTCAGGTAAGGAGGATGACCCTAGTTTGACTGAGTCCCCCAGAAATAGCTAAGAGTAAAAGTAGAGCCCTAAGCTATAGAGGTGGCTTTAGTAAATCTGTGGAAGCATAGACTTTTGCTGGAAAGAAAGTGTAGTGAATGCTGAGAAACTATATATCTAACTTCAGCAAGCTAAACTAAATAAATTTTAAGAGAGCAACTGTCTAAATTTCTAAATCTGGAAAAGGCATACAGACCTTATAGAAGGCTTTGAGCTTCCCCAGGTGGATGAGTATCCTAAATACTTAATATTTACTTCTAAGAGGAATTAGAGGATTGTAATCAGTAACTCAAACAACAGCATCTCTTTTAGGTGTTCCTCAATAATGGCTCACTTGCAGGCTGCTGTGCAAAGCATCAGTATAGGTATATGGGCTTGACCAGAATTAAGGGGATCCTAAGAGGGTGAATCTGGGTGCAGCTGGTCACGCTGGTTCTGCAGTGGCCGAAGGAGTTGCTCACTCTTTCTTCCTCCCCTATTGACAGCTGCTCAGGTACTTTCCCTCCCTTGCATCAGCTCTGGAGCTTATCATACCTCTTCACAAGGGACTTCAATTACCTAATGCAGAGAAAACATGGGTTTGTTGAACCCTCCCAAGTGTACTTTGACGAGTGCCAGTACTGACACCGAGAGTATTTTGATGAGTGCTTGTGCTGACACAAGGTAGGTTCAATGCTTGCTACTGAGGGGACGCTGAGACCCCCTGCTTTCAGCAGCAACCAGCTGTGAACTCACTGTGACTGAGGGGACCCCACCTCCATGGACAATTGTCCCATGGATGCTCCCATTCAGAAATTTATTAGCATCCCGCTTTTTGTTGCTTCTGTCGCTTGCACTTAGATACAAAGTCTTTTTTGCACTTAGATACAAAGTCTTTTTTTTAACATCCAGTTTCCATTGATTCACTGACAGTCCGTGTACATTTGAGGTTCTGCCAGCATCTTCTATAGCCTAATTAGCTACCTCTACATCTTGGTGCACAAACTCTGGTGCATTCAGATCCCCTCACAACTCAATTTTTTGCTCGACGTCAGGAGCTTTCTATTCCCTGGTTATCTCAGAAGGCTCTCTGTGCTTCCAGGTAATTGAACTTTCTAAGCAAAGCTGTCCAGTACCTCTCTGCAGTATTTGAAAAGAGGTGTCCTTTGGACAGTGGTATTAATCTTACCTCAGTTTGACTGGAAATACATCTTTGATGCATTCTGGGATGACAGGTGTGTTTTTCAGGAAGACACCCTATTGATCTGGCAAATCATTTTGCCAGAATCAAGTGCAGTCATGTCTCTCTTCCTTATAAACCAGGCCCTCCAAAACAACATAATAGAAATTCCCTCCAGCCCTTAAGTGCATAAATTTGCTGTTTGTAAAATTGAATTTGATCCTATTTCTAATATCCAGTCCTGAAGATCATCCAGCTCTTTCCTGTGGGAGTTTTTTCAATCTTCTTCGTTACTCCCTATGCTTTCCAACTTAGCGTTATCAGCATATTTCATTAGAGTGCTCCTGGTTTTTGTGCCTGGGTTATTAATGCAAATACCAAGCTGGCAGTTTCTAGGGCTGATATGGAAGGACCCATACTACCAACCTTGTCCTGCTCAGGGCTTGCTCTGGGCAGTCACCAATGCCTACATGAGCAAAAAAGTCAATGGCCCTGCTGACTGATTAGCCAGGGTGAAGCTCTGGAAAGCCGAGCGGCTGCAGCCCTGGGTGCCGCTCTGCAGTCCTTGCCCTCCCACAGCAGGTCAGGTTGCCTCTAGCCTGGGTGTTTTGCTGTTTGAAGGAGAAACATTCAATTTTGCCTCTTCTGCCGAGAAGGTCTGTGCTCGTTGCCTCCTGTCCCATCAGTCAGTGTGCCTGTTGTCGTGTTTTCTCTACCGATTCTTCATCTTTTCCAGTTTAAATGCCTCTTAGGTGGGACAATATAAAATCTTTATACAGATTTAACATCAGTAAAACTTTGCAATCTTTGAAAATGTTTCATGAAATTTCTGATTTGCTTGCCTAGAAAATAACTTACGAGGGAGAGGATTTGACTGGTGTAGCATTGAAGTGTCTTAGTAAATACAGCGTGCATTTAACTTATATACGTTTGCCTCAGGTCTGATTGTTTCTGCTCTTCAGTGTTTGTTCCAAAGCCTTGTGTACTTTTGAGGCTGGGTTTGCTGTTGCCCAGAGCATTTTCCTCTGACGTTGCTAAAGCCGCAGGGCTCCCAGGGAGAGCGAGTGTGAGGGATGGGCCCCGATGGAGGCCTGCCCTGGGAGCCCGAGGACAGTGAGGCACCCGCCGCCTGCCTTAGCACCTACACCGGGTGGAACTGGCCGTGAGCCTATGGTGTGGTGCAGCTCCTGTGGCTGATGGCTTTGCCTACCCATTTAGCGTGATCCTGAGCTCACCATATTGGTATTAAAAAGTCATTTCATTGTTGTGCCATTGTGCCGTTAGGAGTCTGCTGGAGGCAGCTGCCATTCTCCCTCAGATACAGCCTGCTGCAGGAGTGACTCCAACTAGTTTCTCACCCTTCTGCTTTTTTCTTTCCTTAAAGTTCACCTAACTTCCTTACTGTTCGCTTTTAGCAGCAAATAGAAAAGTCTCTTGAGTTAAAATCATTATCGGTGGCTGGTTTTGAACCTTCTGTGAAGAAAACCCCCCTCAGTTGTCCTTGTCCCGCCTTCTGGTATTAAAAATCAATGTGTCCCATGCGCTGTGTAATTCCATTGGAGGTGGTTGTTTCAGTGATTTTTATGAACATTTTAGGAAAAGTATCCTGCAGGTTTTGCCCTTTTCAAATGTAAATGTTTAATCAGTGCTTGGTGAGAGGGAGTGCAAGAACACATGCGCGAGGCTTATGGTTCTTTTTTTCTTCTTGCAGTGACCTGCTGTCTTCTGAATATCTTGAGAGGCATATCGAGCAAGGTGGGAAGACAGTGGAAGTTAAAGTAAGAATTTCCTTTTTATGCTTTGCTTTTTTAATTTGCTTTGCTTTTGATGTTAATGCAAACTCACCTATTTTTTTGAAAGAAGAGATATCTGATTTTTCAGGTAATTTGTTTTACTCTTCTGAGGCAAGCATGTGTCATGTCTTCTAACTTTTCGGCTTTTTAAATAAGACAAATAAACTTTATTGGCAAACTTAGTACATTAATGTTTATATCAAAATGGTATCCATGAAAAATGTATACATGGTAGTTCTTTTTACTAGTAAATATAATTTACTTTTGATGCCTATTGAAGAAAATCTTTCTGGTTTGGTAGCTAGCATTTCCTCATTGTTCTAAACCCCAAGTTTGTTGTTTTTAATGAGCTTCTTTGTAAGTTTGAGAATGGCGAGATTTATTGTATAATGTTTCCAAATACCTAGTCACCGTCTCAAATTGTGGGTTTCTTTCTCTGGATGTTTGTTGGCATGATGGCTACAAGATCCTGTTTGTTGCAGTTGTCTTCTGTGAAATGTCCCACTGCCTTTGCAGGAGTGTTTTGTTATTTGCATGCAACATGGGAGAATTTTCTTGAGGACCTTCTGTTTGTTAGGACACTATTTTGTAGACGTCAGGTATAAAATTGCTATAGATTACATAAAATGTGCATGAATGTAATATATGCTGTGCATAATGGAAACTCTTTATATTTGCCTGTCAGGTCAAATTTTGTTCAAAGTTTACATTTTATTAAAAAAACTCCAGAAGTCTTATACTAAATCTGAGATCACCTAAATATCCTGAAACAAATGCGTTAACCTCTGCAATGTGGAAGTGGAAATGGACAAAGCAATCCTTTAGCCACTGAGTAGCTGAATCCTTTAGCCATTGCGTGGCTGAAGATACATGTTTCCTTTGGTTTATCCCTTTCTAGCATTTGCAAACTTAAAGTCTGCTTTCTTTTTACTCTCTGATAATAGTCTACATACATTATCAGACTGAGACAAACACATACGTGTTCCATTAAATTGTAAAGACTAATTTCTCAGTCAGCCGTGCTCTGCAGTCAAGAAGTCTTGACTCAGATTCAGAATCTGAGTCAAAGCAGAAATAAAGATAATAGCTGATATTAATAAGAACAAAACAATCCACTTGTCTGCATCAAGGTATATATGCAAGTTAGCTAAGTTAATCTATCCGAGTCCCATCACTGAATTAGGACAAATCTGTTTCTGATGAGTAAGCCTTAATCAAGCAAGGAAATGTTTGAAATCAGTGGTTCTTCTCATGTAAGTACTGTTTAATTGCATGGGGAAGAGACGGGAGGATCAGGCCTATCAGAGGAAGGGTCATAAAATGTTTTCTGGGCAAAACATCTCCCAGCCTCCAGGGTCCCAGAGATTATTTCCCCTTTAGTTAGCTGCAGTGCAATGTCGTGGTATACCTTCAAGGATGGCTATCACTGCCTCGCTTAGTACTGTCAAATCTGATTTAAATAGAGAACCAGCGTTGCTGCGTTGACCTTGATGCTCAAGATGAACTGAATTGGGAGTGAAAGGGTCATGAGGTTGCACTGCAAAGGAGGGGCGTAGCTGCTCAGATGGTGTGTTTCCCTCTCCATGCTGCCTTGCACCTTGTGCACCTGAGGGCAGGGGCACAGGGGTAGCCCGGGCAGGTGGGGGGGCTCTTCTGCCCCCTCCTCACCCACTGCTCCGGGAGTTCAGCAGGCAGCAGTCCTATGGAAGTGTGCCAGGAAGGGGGATGTAAATTTTTTGCTTGTTTTGATGCATCTGAGTGTCTGGGATCGGAGGAGAGGGAAGCAGCTGCTGTGACAAAATGTCCGGAAGAGCCCATTGGCCGCAGTCATCGGCACATTTACAGAAAAGTTCAGATATCAAAAGATTTTTGGAAGAGTGCAGGCTGCCGAGTACATTTTGATGCCAGACACTGAGTGAGGCTAATTTCAGTACCCAACAGCTGTTTAAAAATAAATCTGGTTCCCTCTGACCAGCCAGTATTTTTCAGTGCCTGTAAGTGCCCTGGACAGCCCTGTTTGTCCATCAAACAATTTCTGAAAAGCCCAGCAGTATCTGCTTTGCATTTGAGAAACTGAACTCTGGTTTTACATCAAATGTTTTGAAAATCTCACTGCAAATACAAGGATTTTTCACAATGGTGGTTTAGTACCTTCAGTTTCTGTGGAAACTGTTTACCATAACCAGTAAAACCACCTTTAAATTCATACTTACAATATGTACCAGGCAAAACATAATTATTATACTAGATTTTAGGGATTGTGCAGATTGCTTAGATACTTACTTAAAAATAGCTAGTAAAAGGGTGCAACTTATAAATAAATCACAAAATATGCACTCTGCTACGCAGCATATTCTTAAGCAGAAGCAGGAGAAGAGGTATTTCAGAAAGGAGCCAGGTTTCTATCAGTTGCTTCAATGCGCTGCTCTTCACCCACCTCTGTGCGATTTGTCTTTGGCTGTAGGCAGAAACAGAGGCGGCCTGGCAACATCTCTCTTGCTGCTTTGGTGGGAGAAACGGTGACAGAAAGAAAATGTCCATCTGCCATCCACTGCCAGCTGCAGGCTTTGAGCAGGCCTGTTTATACAGCAAAAAGGCCTCCTCTATTCTTGGCCGCCTTAGTGACGTAAGGAGAGGTGTATTTTCAAATACATACATATTTCCCCCTTGCATTTCTCAGTGCAGGAATACTGCACAAACACGCAAGTTGTCAGTGCTGCTGTTGTGCCATCAGCAGTGGGGGAAAAGACAGGAGCTTTGAATTGCTGTGGGAAGGCAGCTGTATGTACGCTCAGCAGTTTGGGAATGTTACAGGCATGAATGTGTCCAGGAAGCTGATGCCTGCCTTGGCTTATACGCGATGTGGAATTGATAACTACTTTTGCCACTCATCCCCCTCTCCATCCCCCCCAGTAAAACTTCCTGTGCCGTAAAATACATATGGATCTTCTGCCATTACTTAGGATGCTTCAGAGAGGAGGGGGGGACAGGGAAAGGGAGAAACATTCAGATCATGAAAAATGCCACTTTGAAGGAGCAAAGGGATTTTTATAGGGAGGAGAGTCATCAGTTTAACACACCTTTTTATTATAAGAGAAAGTTGAATTTCATTTGATTGCTGCATAATTCATTAATACATTGGACCATTGTGAAGGTGGAACATGTTACACATGTTTTTGCAGGGTGCCAGCATTTAGCAGCTGCAGAAGAGAGGCTTCTTTGTGAGATGTCCTTGTTGATTTGGCACAGTTAGGCAGCACCTAAGACATTCTTATTAAACCAGCAGCAATGTGCAGTGCTTAAGAAAAACAAAAGGAGGTAGACCTTTGAATTATTTCAGTGTTTCCCCCCCCACACCCTCCTTTACTTTAGATCATGTCTCTAACTGCTAGGAAAGCAGCAGTATTGCCCTAAATTCCCTCTGGTAGCAAAGAGAATAATCAATTAATAAGAAAGAGAAAAACCCTTCATGCATTGCCTTTTCCTGATTGTGTCAGTCCAGATCATCCTATGCTCACAGCACATAAATACTCAACTTGTGCATACTCAGTGTTGCTGCAGTACATCTCTGTGTCCTTTTATCTCTCTCTTTCTCTCTCTTTCTTGGGTTATCATTCTGTCACTGATGCTGTCAGTGAGATGAAAGGCAAAAAACAGCTATAGTGCTGAGTAATTCTCATTGCTGGATTTTTCTTCCTCAGAAGGAACAACTGATATCTGTTCAGTGACATTTTCTCGTATAAAATGTTTCAGTTTTCCTCTTTGGAGAGTGTAGAAATAGATGTTTCTGCCTGTATTCCCCCAAAACATTGGACAATTCTATGAGTTCTTAGAAAATCGCTTTCTCAAAAAAAAAATTAAGCAACGAAAATAATTCAGATCCCAGTCAGAGAATTTGCACAGGTAGAGTTGTGGTAGATAAATGCCATGAATTTTTGATGGCATATTTAAATATAACTAGAGGGAACTATATTTCATAGGCAATCTTAAAATTCTTAAGTGTGGTGGTGTAAACACAGTATGTGTATTATGGGCACAAAATTACAGCAAGAGTGTTCACAGCATAAGAGTACGTTGCTTTTCACTTCTTCTTCACAGCATGTTCATAATCATGATAGCGTCGAACAACATAAATGGAGTAATATTAAATGCTAGGTACTGTTTTTCTGCATTGTAGTGTTGACGGAGAAGCTTTGGCCAAACTTGCCCTGTGGCTTAAGATTGCCTTGTGGCTTTGTGTCCCAAGCTGTGCTGAGCCATATTGCTGACCCCTGTGGTGCTCAGCCACTGCCTGTGCAGCAGCAAACGCGGGCAGGGCAGTGCCTGGTGCCTTCCTTCAAACCGTCCGCGGCCATCCTCTCGAGCTGGGGTGCCCCAGCGTGGCCTCATGCTCTGCGGTGGCTATAGCAGGGGTGCCGTCGTTGCAGTTTGGGGAATGAGGGTTGTGGGGCAAATGCATTTTTATGCTGCACAGCAAAGCAGAGCCCTTAGTTTGCAAAAACAGTCATTATTTCCTTTTGTTATGTGCGTTGTTTGGCTAGTAGCGTGTGCAAAATGCCTGTTACTGTAGCTTACAGCTATTTTAATGCCTGTGCACAAGAGGGGAAAATTATTGTTCTTCATTGCCTTGCTGTGATTAAAGTCTTGGCTTGTCTGTGCCATGATGTGTATTTGAAGGGCTCTTTAAATGCCCTTTTTTAGGAAAATAATATAGAAGGGAGAAAAATATTAAAATCTTGAAAGGCCAGAGAGGGCTGGGGATCCTTGGCATGGTGGGTATTGCTTTTTCTGTTAATCTCCCTCCTTCAAATCTGGTCTGCTTGAGGATTTGTTAAGGTACAGTCCCCTTGACTGAGGGCAGTATCTGTGTCTGTCACATCTTAGTGCCTGTGTTTGATGAGACCTTATCCTAAGTAGCATTCCAACATTTCACTGTATCGCCACAGGTACGAACTGATCATAAGGCTACAGTAATTTGTGGTGCA